ACTGATAATGTACCAAATTTCGTTAACATTTGCTTACTAATTTAAAAGTTATAGCATGAAAACTATAACAAGCACAAAATTGTTAAGAGGTCGGTCCCAGGGACCAAGCCCATGCTGAAAGAGTTAACTGAGCAGAATTTATGACAAACCATAAATGGACCTTCCCAAATTTATGAACACTCGTCAGTCATGTACAATCTACAAATGTCATCGCTATTAATGCTCATGTATTTAAAGTAAATGCACTTTCATTAATAAGAATGCCATCACTCTGTCCAATGTTCAAGCTTTTTGTATCCACATGATGGAATTGATATATCAAATTTCATTTATAAAATCTGAAATAGAGAGTGATTATTTTAACTTTTATAAAGATGACTACTGTTTTCAATCAGAATACTACTTTTTTAACTTTTTATATATGATAACAAGACTGCATCAAGGCTCTCCCATTTGAATGATATACATACAAGTTCTTTTTTTCAACACTTTTCAAAAACAGACAAGTAAAAATTACAAACTTGTAAGTTGTTTTGAGAATCTACCTCACTGCATGTATATTGTTAGCAAATGTATGTTAGGGCAAACACTTTCAAATCCAAATTTGCAGACTGCACTAGCCAAAAATAAAAAAAACATCACATTACTGTTTTATTGATGATGTCATAATCAGAAATCACTGATTGCCAATTATTATAGCTCACAATCGACCCGATTCCGATTATGTACAGTAAAGCTGATGATGTCATCGTGTAGTATTGTTGACAGTTTAACTTTAAAAGTTATAATGACTACAGAGAATGTACTTTGAAGATTCATTTAAATTTAAAATGAAGTTACCAATAAATGTGCCATAAAAACAAAAATGGAGATTGACCTTGTGGCTAGTACATGCTCAATACATAATGTTAAGTGACCTTTGTGAGAGACTTACAAATTATTGAGGTTCGTTGCCTAAATTCATCATTTGCTTCAGCCATAAGTTCGAAGACTTTTGCTATCACTCTACACATTTTGAACTAAACCACTTTCTAAAACAAACGAAGTATTCTAACCAAAGGCCAAATAAAGTGACAGCATTTGAATCTTTTTGTTCGTGAAAAGTGGATCCTCAATCCAGTTGCCAAAATATATATTTATTAAATTGGCCTTATTAAAAAATGCTCCTAATTGTATTTTTATTGTGTACGTACTGACCAACTTTCCAACCTTAAAAAACAGAAATGACAACTTTAAATGCATTATGATAAAGAAGACCCACATTGTGCTGTTTGAATTATTTAAAATTTTATCACCTCCCTTCGTAACTCTTGTTTTTCAACCATTTGCTTTATACTCAAATAACCCAAAACATCTAGTTTTTCTCCTTCAGAAGCAATCCAACCAATCAGCAATCACATTCGTTGAGCCACAACTAACTTTAGGGTTACTTATGCATATACATAAGTAATGGGACTGTCAAATGATGAAATGAAATGTTCCATAGCTGTCCAATAGGTTAGTTATTTCTTAAATATTTGTATATACCTGTTTACCACATATAACTTGCAGTGACATGCACAATTCAAACAATTGACAAAACCCCCCTATTGGAAAGTAATTGACATTCCAAATTTCCAATTGCTCTGTTGTTTTGGAATACATGAACAATTAATTAAGTCACAATTGTAATCTATTCAAATACTGAAAAATACAATCAAAAGTATTCATATTTATACTTTGTTTTTGACCATAGAATATCTGGGATTGCTAACAGACGTACTTGTGGCCGATTGATGAATCGCTCCAAGTGTTGGACGTGAACAACAATAACATACACGAATATTCGGAATAGAAAATTGGCAATTTCAGTCTTAAAAACAAACAAATAAAAAAATACTGTATTACTTGCCATAGTTGGCATTTTTGAAAACTAGTTTAACATGTAACCCATGGGTTATTTGTATAAAAATATGGTAACGTGGAGGCAAATGCTGTATCATCCCTAGAACTTTTTGGGAAAAATTTGCAGAGATCTCTGGCAAGCACACACAGTGTGTTTTAGTTCTGTGCATAGGGCACTGTTATCGACTGTTTGCTAATGTACGGTGTGTAAAGAAATGAGTGTGCTTCCTGATGTGTGGAGCATTGTTTTTTAACCTTTCTTTTGTTCAGTGTATCAACTTATGTAAATAAATGAGAAACAGACAGATTGTTTAACTGATGATATTTTATTCTAAGATGAATGATGTTTTGTGTCAAAAGAAAAAGGAAAAAAGTATAGGGTCATGATTGTAAGCAAACTTACAAATTAGAAGATTGTTGCTGTGAATAAAGTGGACTGGGTGGTGCTTTTTTAATTTCTCAGCAATCGGTTTTCAGTGATCGGGAAATTTGACAAATTCTACAGATTCCAATTTTCGCACAATTATGCAATAATTGGCCAAATTCCGATTGCCTAACCAATTATCAGTAAAACACTGCATAATATAAAATAATAACTTTAAATGAACACAAAATAATGATTTAAAAACTGGAATAATAATGCAATTCTCATTTTGATCTTTCTGATACATTTTCTACATCTATTTTGTTACTTAATTAACCAGGCATAGCAAGAAAGTCCAGCCATGGGTTGCTATTATCCCCAACGTTAAAGAGGAACTACCTAACATGTGTGGCCTCTTTGACCTACTGCTGTCTGTACCAGCCAGTTCTGATGAGGCAGGGATTCAACAAGATGAAGAAGATCAAGACCAATTTGAAATCTTGTTCTGGAGCAGACAGGATCATTGATCAGCTTCTGGGCATGCTCCACTTGCCTTCAATAAGTGACTTTGATCCCATAACAGCTATCCAACTCTGGAACTCGGATCACTTCACACACAAGAAGACTAAATGCCAGCAGGGTCCAGATTGAGAAGCAGGTGCAGCAGAGTGACGAAGGAAGAATCCAAGAAATGGATTTTGGGACATCATCAGACACTGATACTAATGCATACTAGATTTCCTTTCACAATTTATTTTGATTTGGAAAGGACAATAATTTAGATCATTACCACCTGAGCCATTTTAGAGCTGTTTTCTATTTGTTGCTAGTTTGAGGATTTTGATTATTACAAATTCAATTTCATGAATGACTAATTAACAGCTGTTTCAGGATATGAAAGAACTGATTGCTATAAAGTTAGTATTAATGTAAATTGTATGATTTTTGCATCTCTCCATCAGATGTTTGACATTATATTGATAAATATGTGTCAGCTAGATGGTAATGGGTTATATGGGAACAAGAATAGATTACACTGACAGTGATGCAAAGATTTTCTTTCATTATTTATTTTGGTTAGGAAAGGACACTATATTAAAGGAAAACAAAAAGTTACTGTTCTACCATGTTTTAAAGAAAAAGTAAACATCATATATGGAATACAAATCATTTAAGTGGTGTGACAAAAATGAAATGGTTTGACTTGTGTTTTTTTTATGAAATATGAGTTCACAACAAAATAAATTGAGATATGTTGATATCTTTAGTTCCCTTTCAATTCACATAAAATTCGAATATATAATTCAGTGATTTTTTTATGATAACCTTCACTATAGAGTACATTTTACAATAAGCTATAGGGCTGGCCTTTAAAACTGCTTGTGGGCCCCTAAAAATGCATGTTTTTGATGCCTGTCTGGCTCCATAAAAAAAAAGTTAAGTATGAACCCTGCACTGCATTGGTTTATATCAAAAGTGTTATAGTGATTCTGAATATACAAGCTATTATATAACATTGTGACTTCATTTAAAACAGTTTTAATACTTACATTTACCCTTACCTCTATAGTTCATTAAGTACCCTACAATGCGGTTATTTAATGCAATGTTGGAATTATTTTTACATTTTCAACTAATTACAGAAAACAATGTGGCACCATATAAAATAAAGTGTTCATATTTATATTATTCTCTTACCTCTGTAGTTCATGTAGTCTTCCATGATTGTCATAAGTGTGGTCATCTGACAAAAAAGCAAAATTCTGTGGTTCATAGCATACAGCTTGGGAATGATACGATCAAGAAGTTCAAATTTTCCAGAAACCCTGTAGATGTCAGGTCTGAATGGAAGACATATGTAGTGTAAAATTAAACATACCCTTGCCCATAACTGTAGAATTTATTTATGATAAACAAACAATAAAATAACATAGTGCACTTTAAAATATCTTACAGTCAGTCAAACTTCACATTACTTTAAACTTTTACATACATTTATAATTTTAATTTCTAGACTATTTTGACAACACACCTAATAAATGTAACAGCAGTTGTAAATATTCTATTATCCCTTTAATGAGGTTCCTAGTGGTTCAGTTATTGAAATTCCAGGAGTTTTAAACAAATGCTTGAAAAACATAAAAAAAGAAGTAATTAGCCAATGCATCTCATACACCGCAAGAAGCCTATAATTGAAGATCACTTCTAATAATGTTCATGACCTAAGCCTTTAGCATTGTTTTAAGGTACCTACTCCTCAATTTAAAGCAGACTTTAAATCAGAAATATGCAAAATCATTCAAGCTATATGCATTTAATATCAAAGCTTAACCTCCCTTAATGGTATAAATTGTCTCACTTGCTCAGTTATAATTGGTTGTATACCATAATTATCTTCATAATTATATTTATGTCTACTCTAGTTTTAAAATTTTTTTCCAAATGAATAATATTGGCCTTATACGACACCTAGAATTACTTTCTGCCTTAAATATTGTGCACATACACACATATATATATATATTATTTCCCATTTAATTGTGTATATAAGTATTCAATGCATAAAGGCTCACAGTTTTCTTTTTTTTTCTATTAATTGTTTTGAGCAACAAAAATCTTTTTTTTTTCTTTAACTTGCTTTGACTTTCTTTTACTATATCTTTAACTAGTTTCACCAGTCCTTATAATCCTGTTTTCTCCAGCAAGTAACAATGTAGCTATTATTGATACAGGGCATAAATTCATACTTTTACCATCTTTACATTCTAATTTTATCATTATCAAGATATAAAAATGTGGTTGTATCTATAGTCATATATTAATACATTTGAATTAGCTACATACAAACAATTATCATTGAACATACTCTTGAAAAATAATTCTTTTAAAGTTTAAGTTTTTAAGGTGAAAAAGTTTGAGAAAAACTTGACTGAAAAATCAGCCAGACAGTTACAGCAGCTTTAAGTATGGCATCCAATATAATATTCAAAGAATGTAATCAAAATGCTTATTTAAAATACAGTTTTGACTAAATCAGAATATTTGAAAACTATTATATTTATACTGTTTTGTACATTAAACTACTTAATTTTAATTCATGTGTGTGTGTGTGTGTAGTAAAAACTTTAAGTATGAAGACTAAGTTTCAGTTATATTAACTAGTGTCAAAATATTTTAAAACTTCACTATCTGTGACAATACTTTATGATTTAGCAATTATGTGATGCAGCTTAATGTTTAAAAGAAAATAAATATATTATATATTTATAAATAAATTTATATACTGTCAGAAAAAAAAATTCTAGATGTGAATTTTTTAAAGATTATTAAATAACTAATAAATATTTTGTTTAAAACAATGAACTATGAAGGCGTATTCTTACAGTATAACGATAATTTTTTTAATATATCATGTTGATATTACGAGGTTAGCCTCTCAACGCTGGTCTCCCTTAATCTGTGGATTATTTAATTTATTTCCCATTTAATTGTGTATATCAGTATTCAATGCATAAAGGCTCACAGTTTTCTTTTTTATTATGACAGGGTGTTTTCTTGTGAAGGAATTTCAAAAGTTATGCATTACTGTCATACAATATCAGCCAAAAAAGATGACCTAAGAATCAGCTTTCAAATCTCTTTCAAGTGTTTAAGTTTAAATATCTTTCTTTTTTTATCAGTTACAAGATCTAGTGAGTAAAATCTTATATATTAAATAATTAATAAAAAAATCACAATAACTCATGTAATAACATTAATACTACTGTAACAAAACTATGTGTATATTATGTAGTCTCTCACTACAGAAAAAAATGTTTGTAACTATAACAAGTTTTCAACCTCACCAATAAAAATTTAGTTTAGTTTATCTTTAAAAATCTTATTCAAAAGAATGTTTATTGAATACTGTAATTTCCTGATAATTTCTAAAATTTAAAACATTTTATTATCATTGTACTGTTTCTATGTCACTAATTTTTATGAAAATCATAATATTATAATTTTCATGTAGCAACACCTGGCAACAATATATATTATATCAATGCTGTTTATATACACATTTCATGTAGCAACACCTGGCAACAATATATATTATATCAATGCTGTTTATATACACATTTCATGTAGCAACACCTGGCAACAATATATATTATATCAATGCTGTTTATATACACATTTCATGTAGCAACACCTGGCAACAATATATATTATATCAATGCTGTTTATATACACATTTCATGTGGTATTTTTATTTAACTCTCATTCTGGGAAACAGTGGAAACAACCTAAGTTCTTACGACTGTACATTTACAGCTATAAAGCTTGATAAAGGCATTCATACAAAACATAGGAAAAATAAACACAAGTTTTGAGGTAAATCATTTTTTTCCCTTAGTGATACTTAGTATATTTTTACCCATGTACTATTCCTCCAGAGATTCCTAAATGTTCTGCATAAGCTTCCTCAATATGCTGGAACATGAAGGGGTGGTTACAGATTTTCCTCAACTGCATTATTGTGTTCATTAAAGTCTTAGTTCCACCCTTACCCTAACAAAAAAAAATAGTAAGTTAAAAATTTGTAACCTCTGAAAACTGTAGGTATTACTTCGTTTATATTTAAAAATAACGACATGCAATTTAATACAAGAAGAATATAAAATACTTGATCACTTTACTAAGTATAAACAACTTCTCTTATATTACAGTATAAGAAAACAGCTCCAAATCAACACATCAAAACTAAATTTAAAAAGTAACATATCTATAGAGAAAATACATACTCAACATGCTCTATTTCTTTTCAAAAAGGTCAAACTTATCCTAACAAGTAACAAAAAGGTTACGAGGAAAAAACAAAAGCAACTGTGAAAATCAACTTGTGTCCCAGATGCACACATATGCTTATAAGCTTCCAACTACAACAAATAAGTATCCTGTCTGAGTTCAATAGTTTCTTACTAATGGCACTGTACATAAATAGATATAATTTGTCATGAAAAAAAAAGCTGTTCTCTTCTTTTTTGTAAAATACCACACGAAACCATGAAATCTTATTTGCATTAAATTACTGGTAAATTTGAACTTCTAATGAGTAAAATTAAGTCTGGAGAGGACAAATGTGTCACAGTAGTGACAAGTAAAGAGCCCAGTTCGTCATCAAATTGTTGAGGCAATTGGTGATCTGCTTCGGACAAAAGTTAAAGGGAAGAAAAGTATCATAAAATAGTAGTAAGAGTCAAATGAATCCGCAAAAATTGCGACCTGTTAAGAGAGATAACATGTTCGTACCTGGTACCCCATAGATCGAACAACGGATCCAACCTTTGAGTGTTCAAATATATATCATCCTGACAATGATACGCCAGGACATGTTGTTCATATAAACGTAATTGTGTTGCAAACCTCCCTGCATGCACAGCAATATCAGGAGAAGGAGGAAAAACTAAGTAATTCCCTTGAGAAGATTGGACAACAAAGCAGGGGTAGACTCAAAAGCAACTGGTTGCATTTCCAAAACTTCACAAACACGTGTAACTAACTGCAGAAAAAGGGGCAGAAGGTGACAGATCAAATGAGTCCTCAGGAGAGGAAGCTCTAGTGAGAGAAAATGCAGGAAACAGGGAGTTTAAATTCTCCCAGAATATCCTGTTTCAGAATGAAAATTCAAATCAGCACCTCCCGGCGAGATTCCCCACGGCTGCATGAAGAACTTGATCTCGCCCCGAATCAGGTCACGGACAGCTTCCATTGAGTGTGTCTCACCCCCTAACTGCTGACCACCACCAGACAACAAGCAGGGAATAGATGAAGGCTGAGTAGCCTCTGTGTTTGAAACTGTTACCTGGGAATTCATATCTTTTTTTTTCAATATATTTGTAGGAAACAAACAAAAACAAAATTCAAGGAAATATATTTCTGGGTAACAAAACAAAGAATTCCAGATTAGAAAACGAAAACTAAGAAAATGTAAATCACAAAACATCAGTCTGAATCCTTGCGCTTTGTTGAGAAAAAGTGATTTTATTGTGTACATACAGTGCTTATATACAGTACCTGCATAGAAGGCGTATGAGGGCCGGCGTAAAGTTTTGCAAATTAGATATTCCCTAGGGCAGTAGTGGAGTATATAAAGACTGGAGCAAGCAAACATAACGTTAAACGGCAAAGATGAAGATTGAGAAATTGCTGTTAGTGTCAGCAGAGGTTTTGGAAGGGATCTTTATTTTGGTCCATTACAACAAACTCATGACAGTAAAGAGATGAAATGAACATACTATGTCAAATGTAAATAAAGAAAAAGAAAAATAGGAAACAGTAATTAACCCTCTTGATATAGGTAGGTCAAAGTGCACATCACAACCTTTTATGGATTTATATTCAAAATTTGATTCAACTACTTTATTACCAATGTATATAAATAAACTTGACATGATAATATAGTTAATAAATATGATTTTAATATAGGTTTTAAGTTCTTAACTCTATAAGAAAATATTTAAAAAATCCTCAATCTCCCCTAATATGACAATTGTGACATTTCTCTAGCTCTTCCCCTTCTCTAATTTATTTACTACCCCTCTGAGTAGTACATAATTTAACATCACTTACTCATTATAATATAGATATTACTAAGGCAAAGTCTAATTTTTATAGACATAAAACTTATCCGTTTACAAAGCCATAAATTAGAAAATCAGACCTGTTTGCCACACCCACCTATCAAATCCTCTCTTTCATACATTATCAATAATTCTCTTTGATATTTTATATCATTTATAATCAACAGAAAGGCAAACTTTTAATCTATTGAATGATGTATAATGTTGTTGTTTCCAGTTCAGGATATTGTCAATTTTGTCTTCAGTTTATCTCGTGGTGTTGGGTTCGAGCAGCAAAGGGAACTAATATAAGCCCCTCATCTTAGAAAGCTAGTTAAATTATAGTAGTTATGTGACATTGTTTGCTTTGTGTGTGCTATCATTCCATGTTCTTAAGTAGATAAAAAGTATTTAGTGTACTAGTACCATCACTGTAAAAAAAAGTAGGCTTAAATTTCATTGGCAACTGGCAGCAAAAAAAACAAAACAAGGTCAATAGTATTATATTTCTTGATTTCCATGTATATTCTTTATTTATTGTTATAAGAGTAACTAAAACATAAAAATTAGAAACTCATTAGATTGGATAAGATAAGTTAAGGTAAGATAATGAAAAATAATAATCATAAAAATTGTTCACAAAGTATTCTCGCGAGTGGCTCATGCATTACATCATTCAATATGGTAAAATGAGCCAAGCATTCGCTGAGTAATTTACAACTTCTGTGACAGAAGTTAACATTTTCTTACACTGAAAATGTTTTTCCTATAGGTACTAAACTCCTCTCACCCAAAGCCATCTCGGTCTTGGTTTGCCCTCTAAAAATTGCTAAAAATTTTATTGCTAACAGTGTACCAGTCTCTTATACCCCTCCAATCTCTTGTGTTTCGTTTTGGGGACACCAAATAAATGGAGTAAAATCCTGGTTGACTGTGCACCACCCTTTCATTAACTCCTTTGTGTAGGAGGTCTCGAACAGACTCACCCAGACACCTGGAAAAGACGAGTCTGGGAAGTTGATAGAGGGTGGGGTGGGGTGTAATTGAAGGCAGAAACCTTCAGGTAGAACCCGTACAACCCACGGAACTGTCGTGAGGTGTAGCCAAAAAAAAGACACATAAACTGAACATACATAAAGAAAGTACTCATTACAACGAACTAACATAAAAATAACAAACCCGCAAAACAATGAAAATCACTCTGAAATCTAAAACAATAAGCAACTCTTAAAATACAAAACCACTAAAGGAACTTAGAAGATAAAAGACCCATAAGTATCAATCTTATAAGTCCACTCAAAGAACCAATAAGACTATGGACATGAAAGTAAAACCTACCCTGAAGAGCGTGAGAATAAAAAGGCATCCAGTTAACAATAACAAATGTTGACTAAAATCTAATCCCCAATTAGACGTGACTAGTAATAAAGAATAAAGAACTTACAAAATAAATAACATTAACAGGGAAAAGAAGTATAAATAATGAGCCAATAAACCCACAAAACTGACAGAAGTTACAATTACCCAAACAGTGTTTAACATTCAAAAACCATACATATACCGAAAATGAAACAAAAGAAAGTAATAAATAAACCCTAAATGCAAAGTTAAATGGAAGTAACTGAGATGGTAAAATAATTATAGAAATCTATCTTACCAAGTACTGAGCACAGACGACATGAAAGACCTAAATTATCATGTATGGTAATTAGGTCCATCCACATAAACTCACTAAACATGGGTATACCAACTGGGAGTGAGGAATACATGCTGAAAAACTTATAAAAATAGAGCAATACCTTTTTGTCTTTCTCTGACCCATCAGTCAGGAGTATACCCTTATTCTGCATATGTTGATATAGCAATCGTTGAAGTGAAGACATGTCACACTTAACAACATATTCAACCTATGAAAGTAGTTGTACGTTTTATTTATATTTAGTTGAATGTAATATGGTGTAATATGTGCCTTTTGAAATATTAGAAGTTGTAGTTGTATGTTTTATTTATGTTTAGTTGAATGTAATGTGGTGTAATATGTGCCTTTTGAAATATTAGAAGTTGTAGTTGTATGTTTTATTTATGTTTAGTTGAATGTAATATGGTGTAATATGTGCCTTTTGAAATATTAGAAGTTGTAGTTGTATGTTTTATTTATGTTTAGTTGAATATAAAATGGTGTATTTGAATAAGTATAAAAAAAGAAATGTTTGTGATTTTGAACTTCTAATATTTCAAAAGGCATGAATCCAAAGTGGTTGCAATTTTTCTCAAAGACTGCTAGTTAGTTTGAATGTTCTATATTGAATAACAATGTTGAATGTAAAACTTCTTGGTTTCAAGTAGTTGTTTAAAATTTTAAAGGATTGGTACAAATAAATTTTTGTAGGTTGTTTTTGCTTTTAAAATGCTGTTTCGTATTCTCAGTCTATACTATGATCAGAAGATTATAATATTTTTTAGCATCTCAACAACTATTAACACTCACCCACCCACCAGCTCATCTCTGCAAGATCATTCTATGAAATCAATACTTCACTAATGAACAAAACAAAACATGTGTACCTTTGAGTAATGTCTAGCAAGTGTGGCTTGATATAGCAAGTTAAAATGCTCAATCTGTAAGAAGCTCATGTATAACTGGCCTTAAACTTTCAGATGTGGAGACTTTTTAGTCAAATAACTAAAATACTTTAGCGGAACTGATATATTCCAAGAGTAATAAACTGATGAATATGAAGAAAATAAAACTGCAAATACTTCCTAAACAGATGTTCTCAACTCAGCTTCATGATAATAAATTAATACAATTCATACCAAAATAAATAAACTATAGCTATATCAAGGAATGAAACTACAAGTTCCTTAACATTATAGAAAAAAAAAATTGGCTATTCTTGATGGTATATATTTTTACACTGAATAACAAGTTATACTTAAAACATCATTATTAACCAAAACTTATGAATTGTTTACTGGTTTTTGTATTTATACATATAATATACACACACACACACACACAAATACATGCATATACACAGAATATACAAAAAAGTTTTCCTGTTATTTTTCAGTGGATAAATAAATTCCCAAGCTAACTCAACAAAACACTATTTCCAAACATGAATAATTATAATTTTCATTTTATTGTTTATTTTATCATACTGAAGTACTTCACTTTTTTTTTTTGCACATCAAACTGCTTTTTCTTTTCCAATGCTATAAATGTACACTTGTGCACTTGTTATCAATCATGTAGGAACATTTTTAATCTCTTTCAAAAAAGTTTGACGAGAAAAGAACTTACTTTAATATTGTTTAAAATAAATTAAGATACACAATACCCATATAGTGGGAAACAGATTAATAAGAACAGTCCTTGAATATTTGTAAAACTAGTAATATTTCTTAAGAAAATATATGAATAAACTTTTCGGTGGTCAGACTAAGTGCATGTGGTGCATCAATACTGATATGTACTAGGGTATAAAAAAGATTCACTGCAAATCCAATATCTGATTCTGATATTAACTCTTGTAACTTGTGTTTATTTTTTGTCAAAGAATAAAATTACACAAAAAACATTTAATTTCACAAAAATAATTCAAAATACTTTAAAATAAATAATGTATATTAGAGATCTACAATATTCTTCTGATATATATACAGCGTGGTCACAAGTAAATACACACCACATGAATTGATATATTTATAATTTAATTAATATCTAGTAGATCTTTCTTTCGCTTCGTGGAGTTTGTTGATCCTTTGGGGCAACGTGAGAATCATCTCGTCAA